TAGCTTTAATGTTTTGTTTTTTTTCAATTTTAGTCTTAGTAATTTAAGTACTTCAACTTTAACTCAAGTTGCCAGTGCAAGATTACTAATTTTTAGGGTTTTCACCTAGTATGTATTTTATTTCAGCTTTATTTGTTCGTTATTTTTTATTTTTTTTAGTTAACAATAATAACACTGATCATGGTTAGATATTTTAATCAGTGACAGCACTTTTATTTGTAAACTGTAATCGGACGCATTATAATTTAAGCAAAACTGAAATCTTTCCAAGAACCCCCTGGAGTTTACGTGACCTTAGTTGGGAATACTGCTCTGGAGTGATGCTATGTGACCAAATATATTTCTTACCAGACAGTTAAATGACAAAGAAATTGAAACTCATGTCAGGAGCCATCAGCTTGGTTTAATTTTTGGTTCTTGTTGCTTCACGTCTGGCGGCGTGACATTTTATCTTGAGAGAAAATAGCAACTTTTCCATTCTGGGTCTAACTCTTTCTCATAGCCGGTTTCAGCTGCTTGAATTGTGTCACTGTATCTGGAGGCCAAAAGCCACTGAAGACTGAAAACTGTGACAGTTTAATTGAGAATCATGTCTCTGCTGAAATGCATTTCACAAGACAGGTTAATTATGTTCAGTCTATCAGTTGTATTCTGCAGATTTGCTAAATCCAATTTGCAGTGTTTAAACGTGCACTCTGTCCTTTTTTTCTTCATTAAAAAGTTTTGCACAAAGAAATGAACAGCACATTTGAAAAATATATTTAAATTACATTGTACATTCACTCCAGTCATACTGTATCAATAGTCTAATATTATTATATACTATAATAATATTCTCCCTCCCTATTATTATACAGTTTCTTTTAATGACTAAATTAATCATGGTGTGATTGCTGCATCCACATCACGAGGTTTCAGTATAACAGCTGACCAGCACAACAGAATATTAGGTACACCTTTTTTATTTAACCTTCTGGTATTGTTCATTTGGGAGTCACGCTTGTGTTGTTCATGGTCAAACGTGACCAAACACCTGAAATGTAACTTTTTTTATTTCCAGTGAAATCAATGTAATATATTTTGGTTCAATAATATATTTTGTTTCTTTTTTATTTTGAGAGAATTTCATGATACTAATTAATATTTATGCAATAATTATGTAACATTTCTTATATTACTTTTCAATTATGGCAGTATTTCATGTTAAAATAGAGACAATGCCTTTAAAATAAAAAATTTGAAGGCAAATTAGTGCCATCTGGTGGGAGTAAAAAAAGAAAAACATCTGCAATTCCATGGTTTAGCCACTAGATTCCTATATAGCTCTAAAAAGGCTTATAAATGCTCTAGTTGTTTTTAGACATAAATACTTCTTTCTATCAAGTTGTGGATTTGGATAAATATTTAGACATTCTCAAAGACAACTTTTTGTAAAGGTTTAGATTTTTTTTAGTTTTGTTTGAAATTTTACTACAGTCAAACCTGAACACAGAGAAAGACATTTTGGCTGCGTCCGAAAGCCTAGGCAGCTGACTTGCTGCCTCGCCTGCCTTATGAGGCACTGACTTTGCAGGCAGCGTTTTTGCACGAGGGCACCTCATGAAACTGATTTCGGACAGGCTTCTGAGGCAGCATAACGGTTTAATGATCTAAAATAACAAAATAGAACGAGTTTTGATGATAACTAAACAAATATTTAATTATTATAATACTGATTTCTCGCTAGAAATAACATCAAAAGTGCAAAAAGTTAGTCAGAAACATACATTTACACACAAACTGACCACCAAACACAACTTTTAGACACCATCTTTATGTTTTTATCCGAACCGCCACGGAATGGAACGCACAGGATTGTGGGATATCAAAGGCAGCGAAGGATACATCTATGCTGCCCTGCCTTTAAAATCCAATTTTTGAAGGCAGATTAGTGCCATCTGGTGGGAGTAAAAAAAGAAAAACATCTGCAATTCCATGGTTTAGCCACTAGATTCCTATATAGCTCTAAAAAGGCTTATAAATGCTCTAGTTGTTTTTAGACATAAATACTTCTTTCTATCAAGTTGTGGATTTGGATAAATATTTAGACATTCTCAAAGACAACTTTTTGTAAAGGTTTAGATTTTTTTTAGTTTTGTTTGAAATTTTACTACAGTCAAACCTGAACACAGAGAAAGACATTTTGGCTGCGTCCGAAAGCCTAGGCAGCTGACTTGCTGCCTCGCCTGCCTTATGAGGCACTGACTTTGCAGGCAGCGTTTTTGCACGAGGGCACCTCATGAAACTGATTTCGGACAGGCTTCTGAGGCAGCATAACGGTTTAATGATCTACAACAAAATAGAACGAGTTTTGGTGATAACTATATTTAATTACAATAATACTGATTTCTTGCTAGAAATAACATCAAAAGTGCAAAAAGTTAGTCAGAAATATACATTTACACACAAACTGACCACCAAACACAACTTTTAGACACCATCTTTATGTTTTTATCCGAACCGCCACGGAATGGAACGCACAGGATTGTGGGATATCAAAGGCAGCGAAGGATACATCTATGCTGCCTTCAAAATTCGATCAGAAGAAGGTACCTTCGGAGACAGGAAGTGAAGCAGAATTTGTCTTCGGACGTGCCTTGATGCCTTCATGCCTTGAAATACTGCCTCCGAAGGCAGCATTTTAGAGATTTCGGACGCAGCGTTTGTTACACATAACATCAAATTTCAACAAAAATGTAACAAAAATTGAACAGGAATGCTTTATCAGAGGTTAATCAATCTGATTTCAACCTCTTATTTGAGTCTTATGGCTCAATTTTGCCATATTGTAACAGCCGCATCAGTTCATTTGTGTGTGTATAATAGTGTGTTGTGAGTGTGTGTTTCTGTTTTATTCTCTTGATGCTTTAGAGTTTAACCCCTTCCTTGGTGTCTTTACTGCATTGTGGCTGAATTATTGATTTTATTTCACGCATTTGCAAAAACATGCTTTGTGTTACAGTCACACTAGTTCATATATATACTGTATATGTGTGTGTGTTTGGGTGTGGGGGGGGTGAGTGTGTTTATTTTGCACTCTTGATATTTTAGTGTCACCCTTTTCATTGCTGTGCACTTTTTTCAGCATTGTGAAAGATTTGTAGATTGTACAAAAAAAAAAATTATCTGTATTTTCGTATTTTTGCATATTTCCCATTCATTTCCAATGGTTGTCATGTCAACTACACAAGTGTGACTATTTTTTTATGACCATTTAGCTTTTTCAAATCAAGTTCACTTTTTTATTTTTATTTTTTTTTTGTGGTCACATAGCGACTGCCATAAAAGTTTCATAGAGTTTCGTACCATTCTGATGAAATAGCGATTTTTAAAATTTCAAAACATTTTTCTGGTCTAAAATTGACTAAACAACACCAAAGGGTTAAACAAAATATAAGAAACAGAATATGAGCTTGATTTAAATATGTTTGACAGGTTATTATTACAGAGAAAAGAATAAGACTAAACAAACAAACACACTGCCATTCAAAAATGTTTGGGGTCAATAAAATCTTTCTGCTTATATTTAATTATTATAATACTGATTTCTCGCTAGAAATAACATCAAAAGTGCAAAAAGTTAGTCAGAAACATACATTTACACACAAACTGACCACCAAACACAACTTTTAGACACCATCTTTATGTTTTTATCCGAACCGCCACGGAATGGAACGCACAGGATTGTGGGATATCAAAGGCAGCGAAGGATACATCTATGCTGCCTTCAAAATTCGATCAGAAGAAGGTACCTTCGGAGACAGGAAGTGAAGCAGAATTTGTCTTCGGACGTGCCTTGATGCCTTCATGCCTTGAAATACTGCCTCCGAAGGCAGCATTTTAGAGATTTCGGACGCAGCGTTTGTTACACATAACATCAAATTTCAACAAAAATGTAACAAAAATTGAACAGGAATGCTTTATCAGAGGTTAATCAATCTGATTTCAACCTCTTATTTGAGTCTTATGGCTCAATTTTGCCATATTGTAACAGCCGCATCAGTTCATTTGTGTGTGTATAATAGTGTGTTGTGAGTGTGTGTTTCTGTTTTATTCTCTTGATGCTTTAGAGTTTAACCCCTTCCTTGGTGTCTTTACTGCATTGTGGCTGAATTATTGATTTTATTTCACGCATTTGCAAAAACATGCTTTGTGTTACAGTCACACTAGTTCATATATATACTGTATATGTGTGTGTGTTTGGGTGTGGGGGGGGTGAGTGTGTTTATTTTGCACTCTTGATATTTTAGTGTCACCCTTTTCATTGCTGTGCACTTTTTTCAGCATTGTGAAAGATTTGTAGATTGTACAAAAAAAAAAATTATCTGTATTTTCGTATTTTTGCATATTTCCCATTCATTTCCAATGGTTGTCATGTCAACTACACAAGTGTGACTATTTTTTTATGACCATTTAGCTTTTTCAAATCAAGTTCACTTTTTTATTTTTATTTTTTTTTTGTGGTCACATAGCGACTGCCATAAAAGTTTCATAGAGTTTCGTACCATTCTGATGAAATAGCGATTTTTAAAATTTCAAAACATTTTTCTGGTCTAAAATTGACTAAACAACACCAAAGGGTTAAACAAAATATAAGAAACAGAATATGAGCTTGATTTAAATATGTTTGACAGGTTATTATTACAGAGAAAAGAATAAGACTAAACAAACAAACACACTGCCATTCAAAAATGTTTGGGGTCAATAAAATCTTTCTGCTTTTGTAAAAAAATTCTTATGCTCACCAAGGCTGCATTTATTCGAAAAATACTGAGAAAAAAACCCCAGTAATACTGTGAAATAGTATTACAATTTAAAATAAAACATTTTCCTATTGTAATATTTTAAAATGTATTTTATTCCTGTGATACCAAAGCTGAATTTTCATGAACAGCCATTACTCCAGTCTTCAGTGTCACATGATCCTTCAGAAATCATTCCAATATGCTGCTTTGATCCTCAAGAAACATTTCTTATTATATCAATGTTGAAAACAGTTTTGATGCTTAATGTTTTTGTGGAAACCATGAAAAAATGTTTCAAGATTATTTGATGGAATAAAACGTTTTATAAGAACAGATTTATTTAAAATAAAAAATGACATTATAAATACCTTTACTGTCACTTTCTATCAACGTAGTGCATCCTTGCTAAATAAAATAATTTTATTCAAAAAATATCTTTAACCAAAAATTTCTTACCAAAAAGACTGATTTGCTCTTTTACATGTTACAAAACAGACTGAGTGCACCTTCAAAATAATTGGTTTTATTGTCCTTCCCTATCTTCTTAACTAATAATTATCATGTTTTGCGTTTCAGATGTTAAAGATATGATGACCGGTCCATCTGCAAACTCTCCAAGGTATTCTGCATCCAATGAGCCGTCGACACCAGCATCTTCATCCTTCATCTCTCACTCCCCTGAGGTCAACCCCTCTCCACCCGAGGAGCTCTTCTTCGACCCGGTGGCTGCTTCACACAGACAACTTCACCAACATTACAGAGACGCCAAAAAGCAAACTAGAAAGAGCGACCCAAGCATGCCTCGTGACAACAATGACAATTTTACACTCCCCCAGAGACAGGATGGGAAAGAACGCTTACAAAGTCCAAAAAAGACTCTAAACATGGACAACAAGAGCGATCCTAGCGGACGAGAAACTCGATCCCCAAGCCCCAGGAAGACCAAGAAGGAAAACGCTGGGATCAGACAGGAGGTGCCTCAAAAAGCCACTGACGGATTGAAGCCTAACTCTGGAAGGAGATACAAAGACGAGGGCACTATGCACAAGCAGGACAGGGAAACGGGAGAAATCAGACCTGAGGTCTCAAGAGGTGGCAATGACAGATACCCGAGGGACAAGACAGCAGAACCTCAGTGGTCTGAAAGCGGTACCCTCAACCGGAAGGACCACAGAGGACAAGACAGGCCTCGAGGGGAAGAGGATATCGAGGGTGTCCCTCAAGAGACTCCCCAGAATGGGAACCCTACCAACAAGAGAGCCCCTATAACCCCAGGCCCCTGGAAGGTGCCCAGCTCCGCAAGGATTCAGCCTCCGGTGCATGGAGTCTAATGCGTTTGGGAGCAGTTATTGATGTGAATCACTGTGGATTTTTTGGTATGACTATCACCATCTACACTGATAACATGCAGCGTTTGCTTGAGTCCACCAACAATACGAGCCTCCGTTTTGTTTTGTGCCAATCAGACTGCAGCTACAAACTCATCCATGTCTCTTTGCTCCTGTGACGATAACATGAAGGATGCTTTTCTGTGAAGGTTTAAAAATGTCTATTTATATGTATTAAAAGGATAGTTCACCCAAAAATGAAAATTCTGTCAGCATTTATCAGCCTTCTTGATGTTACAAATCCTGTATGACTCAAAAGAAGATATTTGAAGGATGTTGGTAACTAAACCAATTTGGTGACCATTGACTTCTGTTGTATGGACCATAAAATCTTTGATCTTCCACAGAAGATAGACAGACATACGGTGCTGAAATGACATGAGGATGAGTGAATGATGACAACCTTTTTCATTTTTGAGTAAACTATCCCTTTAATTTTCCATCTTTGATTCTCCGCATGTCCTTGACGACTTTTCCAGTGACGCAACTGTCCTCAAGATCCAGTCCTGAGAAGTGATTTTGTTTAGGCTGTGCATTATTCTGCTTTTTTTGCAGTGAATTTTCGACATATCTATCTTTAAAAGACCAGAAACTTAAGTTTAAGGTTAAGTATATTGTTTACTACTTGTGTGTTGAAGACGATGCATATGTAATTTATTGAAATGAATATGATGATATAAACATATAAATGTATAGCGGTATAGATATTTGTATCCATTCTGAGCCAGGTCACTTATTAGTGTTCCAGCTTGCCGATACGACTTTCGGCTTCCTAACAAACACATATTTTTTCACAGTGCTACAGCTTTTACAGTTAATCTCGGTGGAGCATTTGCAAGGTGTGTACATTTGGGATCAAATGTTCGCTCATATCATTAGAAGGTGAAGCAGAACTAGGAGAAATTCAGATATATTTTTGCATACTATCCAATCTAACATTATATTTTTTCTTATTCTATTTAGCACATCGAATGATTCATACTGCATTGTTTACCCAATATTGGAACTTCATATTCATTTAAAGTGTCTTTATGCATCTTTCAGATTATCCTATTAAATGTCAAGATGCTGTCTTATATCCATGGGAAATGTAGCTCTGAATTATGTGCCGAACCATTTGGATGTTATTCATCAGGTTCTTAAAGCCTCAAACAACTGGCACAGATTCAGACACAAGATATAACAATGTCCAATATCTTTTTTCCATAACAGTATTTTTGAAATACCATAAATATTAAGTGTCCATATGGGCAGAGCAGACATCAGTCAAACATTGCATATGCTACAGTGCTTCTATAATTTAATCATGATGAAAAATGTGAATACTTTCTAACAAGGTTTATGATTGCTTCTTGATCATTAAAGGGGTCATGAACTTCCTTTTTTATTACTTTGTACTGTTCTCTGAGGTCCACTTATAATGTTATCAAGATTTTTACAACAGAAAACATCATAATTTAGCAGTAATAGGCTATTTTCTGTCCTGTTTTGACCCCCTCAATGGAACGCTCTGTTTGAATAGACGTGGAGGATTGTAGACTCGGAAGTAAACGCCGACTGCTATGATTGGCTAACAGTTGTGTATGTTTGACAGCCTACAATCTTCATAGATGGACGCTGCTGTGATTTAGATTAAAAACGTATACTCAGTACATATCAAACGATCTGTAATAACAAAGCAATAGTGAGACACGTAATAAAACGTTACTCACACTTGTGTGCAGTGGCGCCTCCAGGATTATTTTTATAGTGTGGCCGAAAGGGGCCAGTAAAAATGTTAGGGTGGCACAATACAAAAAATGTTGCATGCCTAAATATAATGGCAGACATTAATTTTTGGCAATTACTATTCTCTGTATAGAGCAAAATGGAAAAAAGTCTCTCTGCAATTCAACTACAAGTACCCTCATGTTTATTTGGAGTGCAAATTCATTTCAAATGAGAGTAAAAGTATAAAGAAAGCATAGATGTTTAACCCGTCACTTCATCAAAACAATTGTTACACTGTTGAGAGCGTATTCTACAGTACACATCATACAAGTTTATTATTTTTATTTTTAATATATTGTTTCGTCAATGTCCGTGTTAATTTATAAAATAAAAATTATTCTAAAAAAACTCCACTCTTTTTGGTTGGGGGGGCCAATGGGGTGGCCAGTGTCATTTCAGGGGTGGCCGTGCCCCCCCCCCAGCCCCCCCTTGGAGGAGCCACTGCTTGTGTGAAGCAACATTACTGTCAGATCCAATATAGTCGGCACAGCATCGTCTTGGAGTTTCAATCTTTCTGAAAATCCTGCGTCGATTTGTGCCTTATTTGTAAATGAATCCGTGGTAAAATGAAGTGAACAAAGGACCAAGTTCTTACTGACGCGGTC